AAAAAAATGCTAACTATTAAAGGGAAAATAATTTCTTTTCACTCCTAGAAAGAAGCCTGGTTGGACCACAAACGGGAATGCAAATGTATTAAAGATATTGACCCTAATTTTCCTCCTGACTCAGTGAGGCTTGTTGGCAGGATTATTTTCAAAGTAGTAAGTTACATTTTTATATATGATTAATTTTTGCAAAATATATCTGCTCCAGTTCTGTTTATGTGGAAAAAGATTGTGTATTTCAGAGTTCAAGTGATCCTTGAGATGGAGAGGTTGAGAAAATCTTCTCTCAGTCAGATTGCCCCACGTTTTTATTTGACAAAATGCTTTGGAAATATCTTTGTATCATAAAGTGCCTATAGCAAAGAGCTCAAGTGAGACTTGATGAGTTGATGTTCTAACCTATGCTGGTTACAGGAGAAAATAGGAAAGGAGCCAATTTACTACTTTTAGCTCTTCTTATCTTGACTTGTGTACCTTTGACCTGGTTTTTATAAGAACTGTGCGATGTTAAGAATGGTTGCTTGAGTTTGTTTGTTTTTGCCTTCTATCCCTTTCTCTTGTGTACAGAATTGTCTTTTGGAATTGTACTCTTGAGGAATGGAATTAACATGTATTTTATTACTATGAGATCCTCTGGGTGTCTTTTGGGTTGAAAAACAAAATAAAATGTGCTGTGCTAAGTGAGTATGTATGTGTGATTGTGTGTGATCGCTCTGCAGTAATCAGCAGGAGTAAAGGTATTGTCTCTTCACTTGACTAGCTTTTAAGTTGATGGAAAAAGAAAATTAAGCTAACTAGAGGCACACATTTTTATATGCTGGCTATACAACTAACAGTTGGATGTGGTATGTAACAATGTATGATTATATAAAGTATTTTGAAATTATTTCAGTTGCATTCTTGGGCATTTGTTTAGAAATTAGAAATAGGATAAAGTAAACCATGCAATTAAATGTAATAAATCAATCTATTATATGTATCAACATGTACATTTTTGTCATTAGAAATATGATTTTATGGTTTCAATTTCTAAATGAAATCCTACAAAAATTGCTTAAAATTAAAAATTGTATTAGTATTTGTGCTGTTGGCTTAAGAGTTAGTCAGTTTGATCTTAGACTGGTGCTAATGCCAAATTTCATGTTTACTTCATTTCTTCAAAAGGATTAATATCTTAGATATTTATGAGAGGTTGACCTTTTGGCACCAATTTCAGAAAGGGAGTCCTTAAGCAGAATTCTTAAATATCATGTGCACTTTGATGCAGAGCTTAAAAAGACTTGTAGCAACTATTCTAGCAGTGAACTAGATAAAAATAATATATAAAAACCAAGAAAATGGAGAATAAATTAAATGAATAATAATAAAATGCAGATGTAGGCTATAAAACACCAATAATGTTTTTCCAAGCATAAAATAGTCACAAATTACTTTATTTCAGATGATTTTTGTTTTTTGTATTCATGTATATCAGGTTTATAGCTATTTTTTAAACAATAAAACAATTTATCCAAGGTTATTTTTACGCATTAGTGTTTTTTTTTATTCTTACCAGTTAAGGCAATCAGTATGCCCATCTGAAGAGCTCTATTCTCTTTCTGACCTTCAATCAAGTAAGTGATTTTGTATATTTTCTCAATTTAATGGGACTCTACTATGTTAAAGATGTGTGAGAACACACACTATTTTTTAAATATTTTATGCAAATTGGTTAGCATCTTCGTGGTGAGGATTTCTGTGCTCCCTTGAATCTGATGAAGGAACTGCTGCTTGTAGACAATAAATATTGTGATAACAATAATGAAAGATCTTCCAGTTAAATTAGAGGATGTTAACTGAATCAGTGCAATTTAAAGGATAATTTTGGAATCTCTCTGCCCCCACACCAGATATTTGATCTTGGATTATTAATGAAAATTTTCTATTCTAAATTATGTATAGTGAGATCAAAATATTATTTTATTATATATGTCTTAACAATTGCATTTGTTTTAGAGGTTTTTAGTATTTATTTTAGTGTGTGCGGGGGTTGTATTTGAACCAAATTCTGAGACTACATTGTTAACCCTTTCAAAAAGAAAACCTACAGGTGAATATCACATTTTCATATTTAGGTGAGAATTTTTTCCCCTGTTGAATCTGCGGATGTAAATAATCATCAGTGTGCCTGGAGATGGAATACTAATACAAATTATAGATTACATTGAGCTAGAACGGGGTTAGAGTGATTTAGGCACTCATCCCCTGCTTTCTCTGCTGAATTACTAGCATTCATTCATATGCACAGAGGGTGGGAAAGGATTCAAAGGTACTTTTGGGATAACATGTAAAAAATTTTTTAACAATTTATTTACATGATTTCAGTTTAGTTCATTGGGTGTTTCTTCCTAGCCAATAGTTAATTGTTCCAGTACAGATAATTCTTTTCTATACAATACAAGTTTATTATTATTACTGATTCTCCAAATTCATCCCAAAATTTTGGATGGATATAGATACACACCTACCACTTAGATATGCATTTTTCCACTTTTACGGAAGAGCTTACTTCTGATTGAAATAAATCAAGGTATTGCCATCTTGCATTGGGAAACATATTTTGAATGACATAAAATTACTATTGTTACTGTAAGACACTTAACTGATTTTCTGTTTACCATCTCTTTGCACATCTGCTTTGTCTTAAGATTTTGCTTCTTCGTTCACATAATATTTGTACAATTTGGCAATATCAAATTGCTGGTGAGAAGTTCTGCCAAAAATAAAGTAGGATATTTTGTCTCTTTGGAGTTTGAAATGTTCACACTGCCAAGCTGATTCTAGATTGCTTAAAGATGTTTTTGCACAGGGTAATCCTCACACTTTTTAATACATTTCCTCTTTTTAAAAGATGTTGATGAATTAAGTGAAGACATGAAAGAAGGTCTCAGGCACCTTGCTAAGACTCTGCAGCTGTATTTGAAGGTGGAAATCCAAGATGTTTCTCAGCTTTTGCCGGCCTTAGATATTTTTCAGATCTTTGCAAAAGTAAGTGTTAAAAGAGAGTTCTGAAATCTCTGAAAATATGTAGTCATTATTCATATTTTTGTGCTTTCACGTCCTTTGAAAGAGCTATTTTAAACTATAATTCACTGCCAGATATCAGACTGAGTGAACAGTAAATTTATATACCACTTTAACAATTACAGATTTCCCTCTCAAGGTTTGGTATCTTTTTTCTGATAGAAACAGTCGGCATATTAAAAAAGAACTATGACAAAACACATAATGCTAATATTGAAAAATAACACCAAGATTTTAACATTAAAAACATTTATGCGTTGCTTCTGAAACATGGCTTATGCATTCCTTTTTGTTTGAAATGGGTATCTCTATTGAAAAAAATAATGTATCACAATGTATATTTAATGATTACTTACTGATATATGCCTTGTACTTGACTTATTTGTTACCCAGCATTAGAAATTTAATTATTTTTTTTCCATCCTGATATAAATGTCAGCGAAGGTTAATAATTTTCTACCGCATTTATTATCATCTACTATTTGCTTTAGATAATTGAGAGAGTGATTACATGGGATAATTTTGTAATTTCCTAGAGCAAAATATTATAGCTATAATCCATTGTAAAAACATTTTCTATAGCTTTAAATTATACTGAATGGAAAGCAGAAGTGGCCAAAAATATTAGTACCTCCATTTCCCCCCAAAGAATCCCAATTTGTTGAAATAAATTGAAACTGACATGGATAATTCTTGGTAGAAAAGTATTGGCTGCATCTATAAGTTATCACAGAATAAAACAAAACTATTGTAAAAATAATAATCAGATATTCTGTGTTCTTTTCTATGTATCTCCTAGGCATGAGATACTTATTCTACATTTCAATGCCATTCTTTAATTTATGAACAGTTTTTAGTAATTTCTATAGTAAACCATATAGGTCAGTTACACGGCTATTTGATGTAGGTGCTTCAGGAATGAGAATAAATCTAATTATGAAAGATGAAAGAGAAAAATAAGAAGCCCTATACAAAGGTTACTAATTCCTGACATGTTTTAGAAAAGTGCCTATCAAATAGAGATTGCAATGAATTTACTTTAACCTCCCCCTTTTCTTTCATCCTTAATAACAACCAGTGTTATTATAAATCTGCTTAGTTTTGCTGCTATACCAAGAAGATCATTGGAAGCTCGGAATGAAACATATGGAAATGAAAGTCACAAAATAGAGTTTCATTCATGATAACATGATAGTTAATAATACCCTAAAAGAAATATTATCTATCTCCCGTGGAATTTAGTTTTCATGAAGTTATTGCAGGTTGTTTGTAACAATTCTGATTACACAGTTTTTTTCTCTAAATACATGCTAAGCATTAGAAAAGCTAGTTAGAAAATTCCAAAATAATTTGTAATATAACTAATACAGTTATAATTTTGAAGGAATCGTCAAAAGAAAGTAAGCATTTTTAAACTAAGAACATTATATAATGTTCACGTTAAGGAGGAGAGAAACCTATTCATTCTATGCTCACTTCTTAGAATATAGTGGTTCATAAATATATTTCAACTTGAGGATTTAAAAAAATTGCTTTGTTTGTGTATATGTGTGTGTGTGTGTGTACTGTATGTGTGATATCACTACTCTTCAAGAATAAAATTAATTTAAAATTATAAAACTAAAACACTAGATTTTGGTTGTATTTCTGCTTAGTGCTTAATACAGAGCATGTACTTACAGAAAATCCAGGATCTTTAGCATTTCCAAGTAAACTTGCAAAAGATGCCTGATTGAAATCCTTCCCCCTGCCATATATACAGATACATGCTTGCATCTTAAAGTGTGTCCATTTGTTTTTCCATCTTCACTAAACATTTTATAAAGGTAGCTCTTTGATTTTACTTGTTCAAGTTTATCTCTGTGTAACTTGAAATTGGAATACTGTAGCGCAGCAGCCACAGCCTTTTTGGCACCAGGGACCGGTTTCATGGAAAACAATTTTTTCATGGACTGAGGAGGATAGTTTTGGTTTTGCTCACTCACCCACCACTCACTTCTAGTTGTGTGGCCCATTTCCTAACAGGGAGACCCCGTTGCAGCATATAGCTTTTATAATTGTATAATTTGCATTGGCTATTAGGAGGCAATATGTGACCATGTTTCATTTTTATTGAAGCTTATTAAACATACATAGCCAGACCCTATTCTGTGGGTTTCGGACATACTCTGAAATGGAACTCTTGGATTATTGTGTTTTAATCATATAAACTGCATGAATGGTGTAATATAAACTTAAAGAAAGGTAGAGTACATACCATTTTGATAAAATCTCTTATCATTTGGAATTGTTCACTCAGTTATCCCTGTCAGATATTAACTACCTTTTTCTTGATAGATGAATCGGACTATCCATGCTCCTTGTTTGTCTATTTACCATAATAATATATATATATTTATTCCTAATTAAACCTGTATCTTTACTTCCATGCATGTATTTATCAGCTCCAGAAGATCAGATCACTTTCTTCAGATTTCTTGCATCCTTCCCCTGGAAACGTAGACTGATTTACTGCCGTAATCCTATCCAACCCCCTGTTAATGACAATAACAGAACAGGTCAATTTTAGCACAGTTTGAATAGTGTGACAAAAGTATGATCAAAGTCCAGTTTTACCTCAAATATATTTATACTATTTTATGCAAATTAAAATCTTTAATCTAGAGACTACTTTGCATGTCAACATAATGCTGCTCTCATCCCACCCATTCAGAAGTACAGTACATAATGTGTGTTGGCACAATTAAGTTACAAAACCATAACTATAAGACAGTGGTTCTCAACCTGTGGGTCGGGACCCCATTTGGGGTTGATCGACCATTTCATGGGGGTCGCCAAGCAAGGCTGTGTGCCATTTTTTTTGTCCGCCATTTTTTTTGTCCGCCATTTTTTCCCCTTTTCCGGCGGGTGCCTTACTTCCCTTGGGCTGGGCCAGCTGGTGTTCGGCCTGCTCCGTCTCTGCCGCTTGCCAGCTACACCTTGGCTGGCGCAGGGGGCGGAACCACGCATGCGCGGCGCTCCCGGGCAGGGAAAGTCCTCGACTTACGACCGGTTTAGTCCTCGACTTACGACCGGTTTAGTCCTCGACTTACGACCGGTTTAGTCCTCGACTTACGACCGGTTGGGGTCGCGGCATTAAAAAGGTTGAGAACCACTGCTATAAGAAATATGGAGGATGCAGTAATCCTATTATGCTTGTATATGTTTTTTTCTTGATAAGATTGCTAGGTATGCTTATCTGCAAATGAGAAGTAAATTTTGTTCTGACGTGGGACTATTTGTTCATCTTGAAGCTATTTTTTATTATGTATATCTATATATTTTTGGCAAATAATTTTTCCAGTGATTTACAGCTAGAAGCATTGGTGGGGTGTGTGAAAATCAGGATTTTCATGGTGCTGACATTAACCTTTTTGGTACTATAATTAATCTTAGCTACTGTTATTTATTATAACATATAATATAAACAAATGAATCACTAAGTTGGAATAAATTACAATTTAATTAAAAGTTCTGAAATTGCACTTTGAAACTTTCATGTACTCTAGGCATAGCTGAACTATACGAATCTTCAAGATTATAAGGTAAAACTGTCTTCAGAATGCAGAGGAGAATTGATTTATTTGTGCAGCATAAAAGAGGATAGATTGCCTTAATCATGAAGATAAGGGTTCTTTATGTATATGAGAAATAGGAAAGTTCTTTGTATAAATGAGAAATACAAGATCTTTTTTAAACCTTAGAGATCATCTTTTCATAGCATTCCATGTTGTCTTTGAGATGGAAAGACTTTGGTCACTTTAATACAGGGATGTCCAACATTGGCAACTTAAAGACTTGTGGATTTTAACTCCCAGAATTCCCCAGTCAGCACCCCAGCCAGGAAGAGCGCTGACACTTTTGATTTGCCTGGACATATGTGTTCTGCAGTACATTGTGTAATCCTCAGAATCTTCTCTGTATCATTGTACCAAACTCAATGACTGTACTATACTCATTATAGTATAGTACTTCTAGTTTTATATTTAACCATAAGGCTTTCAGGGGTTGTGATAGTCTTTTAATTTTTGAAAAATTTTGGAATTCACTTTTACATCATAGATCCCCAACCATGAAAATATGAACTCTGGTCAGAAACAGTCTCCCAATGGAGCCCAATGAAAGGTTCCCCAGATCTGATTTAGTAGCTTCTTAATACCATCTATAGTGGTAAGAGAGAAAGTTGTTTATAATGGCTTTATGCCTGTGAGAATATGTTATCATCTGAACTCTGACAAGGTCTATGGGAAGCAAACAGAAGATTGCAAATAGCAATTTTATGACTTCACCTCCCACCAATGTCATAATCGTGAGCAGGTACTCAAGTGCCCAGATCATAAACATGTGATCATGGAGGTTGTGCAACAGTCGGAACTTCAAAAACCGGACATATGTCCTTTTTTTCCAGTGCTGCTGTAGTTTTGAACAGTCACTGAATGAATGGACATAAGCCATGAACTAATTGGAACAAATTTGTACACAGGGTACAGGTATATTCTTTAGATAAGCTTGATTTTTATTTATCTTGAATGGATTTTATTTACTTTAGACTTTGGGGCAACTGACTAACCCTTTGACTCGGTGTGTATGTGTGTTTATGTCTGTGTATGTGTCTGTGTAAATGCATGCATATAAAGTAATAGATTACAGTTTACTAAGAATAGGTGTCTTGTACTGAGAGTGTTGAAATGGTTTAAAAAATGAATTTCTGGGGTCAGCCCAAGCAGTTTATGTTTTTGTTTGCTACATGTTATCTATTGATAAATGCCTGCCTTTAAGAAAGCCTCCAAATCCTATTTATTCTTTCAATCTTTCCCTGAATAGAATCTATTGCCTTCTTCTGAATTTTTAGGTGAAACTATCTGATGTTAATATGATGAGAATATTCAAATCCAGGTGTTTTATCACTATGTTCTTAATGTACTGTGACTTTTGATGCTGGAAGCTGT